ATCCTTGATCCAGAATCCTTGATTCGGAATCCTTGATTCAGAATCCTTGATTCAGAATCCTTGATCCAGATCCAGAAACTTTGCTAAATGAGTATAGACTCTTATTCTCTTATGAAAAATATCTTTAAAACTTTAAAATTGCCTTGATCTAGCTGTTTTGAATGAATCTACTGCGCTTTCGGTAAATTTTAAAATCTAATGAATCACAAAAAGATTTAGAGTTTATTACACCGAAAAAGATTATAAGTTCGTTGTAGTTGTCAATTTCCTAATCTTTCATGTCTTTCATTCTTTGATACCAATTAGTGAAGTCAGTCATCCATAAAAGTTACGTCTAAAATTTCTACCTAAATGTGATTGGAAAGATGAAATAAAGTAAATAACCGAGAAAATCTCGTGAAACTCTGAAATATTTTGATGATTCAGATTCGTAATTGAGGAATTTCGAATAAGAAATTCAGTGATCAAAGCAGAAAACAGAGAAAAAGATGGGGAAATCGGGGAAAATGTAAAGGAAAGCGGGAAATTCTGCGTTCGACAGCCCGTTTGAGAGAATTCCCCTGTTCAAAACACTTCCTCGCATTTTCAATTGACGAATTTTTAATTCACCTTTTCCTTCTGGTTAATCGTATAAGCTTTTTTTCGAAGCATTGGCAGGTTGTTGTTGTTTGTTGTTGTTGTTGTTGTTGTTTGTTGTTGTTGTTGTTGTTGTTGTTGTTGTTGTTTGTTGTTGTTGTTGTTTCTTGTTGTTGTTTCTTGTTGTTGTTTCTTGTTGTTGTTCTCAAAGTTGTTTATTCTCAAAAAAAAAGGTAAGCACATCCTTTCTGACGTATTTGATTCATCAAAAAGCTTTTCCATTGATGAGTTCAAAGAATTCAAAAAGCTTTCCGCATTTTTAATTTCCAAAGTTTGAAAGATTGACTTGAAAATTCCGGGTCAATCTTTCAAACTTCAACGCACCTAAAAATTCAGCATTTGCGTAGATCTTTTTCATTTTTTTCTTTTCTTTTCAGATCTTTTGAGATGTGAACTCAAAAATCATCCATTCAACCGAATTTTTGCCATTTTTTTTGTGTGTGAAAAGCGAACCCCATAGAAAATAGGGAAAAAAACTTTTGAGTTTTTGAAAATTGAACATTTTTAACACTTTCTTTTGCAAGGTTTTTGCTTTTCGAGCGGATTTCGAGTTTCGCTTTTGACTAGGAAAAATTGAAATCTTTATCTTTTGTTTATTTCGCTTTTTTGGTGATTTAAATTTGCAAGAAAGCGTTTCCTTTCAAGAATAACTTTTCATATTATTATATCGTGTTGCTTTTTGTCGGCCCTTTTTTGTGTTATGTGTATGAATTGATGTGTTTTCATCTTAAATCTAGCGCACTTTATCTCAGGTGATGAATAAAGTATCTATTAAAAGTGGATAGGCTAATCACTTTCATATGTCAGTTAGGAAAAAATGGCTTTAACCGATACAGAATCGGATTTTATCTGTCCACTGAGTTAAAATCTCCAAGTTGAGTGGATATTTGTTACCTCCAATAAGTTTGTGTATAACTCTTTTCCAATAAGAACTGCCAGAATCTGGAATCGACTCTCCAGAGTTTTGAGAGAGTCCAATAGTCTCGAAATCTTTCAATTATCTGTAGATGATGTTGATCTTGAAGCTCTAGTGGATCCTTGACGTTATCTGTGTTACCCATATATTAAATACATTATATCGTGTTGCTTTTTGATCGGCCCTTTTTGTGTTGTGAATAAAGTATGAATTGATGTGTTTTAATCTTAAATCTAGCGCACTTTATTTCAGCTTCTGAATAAAGTATCTATATAAAAGCATCAAAACAAAAGATTTACCATATCACTGATCAAGAAAAAGCCATGTCCTCGTTTTTTTTGCTGTCCTTGAAAGCCATGTCCTTGAAGCTCTAGTGGATCCTTGACGTTATCTGTGCTACCCATATATTACATCTATTATATTGTGTTGCTTTTTATGGGCCCTTTTCGTGTTGTGTGTATGAATTGATGTGTTTTAATCTTAAATCTAGCGCACTTTATCTCAGGCCCTGAATAAAGTATCTACAGTACTGGATAATGAAATATGATATTTGAAAGACGATCGTCACTTTCGCGCGTCTGTAACTCCCTTGTCTTTGAGTTTAAACTATTAGTGTTGTACATTTTTTGAAAGCCCTTTTCAAGGGCTACACAATGGTAATATTAATATTTAGAAATGCGGTAAAGACAAGGGAGTTACAGACGCGCAAAAGTGTCGATCTTTTTTCAAATATGATATTTCATTGTCCAGTAGTGTATATAAAACTCAATTACAAATTTGTATTTTAAAAAATGAAGCCGTTGAAGTGACGAGAAATCTCTGAGCCAAAATTTTTTTTGAATGAAGTCCAAATTTTTTCGCACATTTTTCCGGAATTTGCAATCAAATCTAGGCAAATAAAAAGGGGAATTCAACTTGAAAAATCCTCGCCTCTTGCGTAGTTTCCGGGTATTTTGGCAAAAATCCGAGTATTTTGAACGGGTCGTCACGCTTTGAAGGTCTATAACTTTTCCCAGAGATAATATTATAGTCAACCTTTTATATCATTGTACAGAGAACATTTTAGGCTTTCAAATGATACCAAAAAAAGCTTGATTGGTTTTTTCATTACCATGCAAATCAGGCGACACAACACCCGAGTTGGATAGACCTCATTTGCTCAGAGTTGGCTCTGATTTCTTGGACTGAATTATCCAATCAAGCTTTTTTGGTATCATTTGAAAGCCTAAAATGTTCTCTATACAATGATATAAAAGGCTGACTATAATATTATCTCTGGGAAAAGTTATAGACCTTCAAAGCATGGCGATCTGTTCAAAATACTCGGATTTTTCCAAAATACCCGGAAACTACGGAAGAGTCCAATGCTCAAATGCACTTTGAAATTGTTCATTAATCAAACAAAAGATCTATTAAGATTTAAACGACTTGTTGCTTGCCTCTGCAACTCGTCGAGCTCCAACAGGCTCAACTTTAAAACAGCTTTGATTTACTTTCTATTTTTTACTGTTTTTTACTTTATTTATATTCATTTTATTAATTTTTCTTTGATTTACTTTATATTTACACTTCTTTTATTTATTTTAAGATTAAATGAACTTTTAACGGTCAATATCTGTATTAAAATAATATAAAGTGAACAAAATGCGTGTCAACTGACAAGTAGGGATCCTTTTCTTCAAAAAAAAACACACCATTTATGCATTTACGCACCAAAAAAACGCATCAAACGCACTATTTGATCTCATTTTTTGGGCGTGGGACAAATGCGACCTTTTTTTTTGCGCACCCGGACATTTGCGCACCTTTTTTTCCGCACCTTGCCCATTAGCGTACCTTTTTTCGCGTTTTCAAAAAGCTCTAAAAAGCTAATATTAACCAATTTCTATTCCAAAAGTTGTTTTTCTAGGTAATTTTAGGGCGTAGAATCGAAATTTTGACATATCAGAGCTTGTGGAAGCGAACGGACGGAGTTATACAAAGAGAAAAACAATTTTCTGTAATTTGATCTAGCCGTTTTGTCTTTCAAAATTTCAAACACGCTCTGATATGTCAAAATTTCGATTCTACGCCCTAAAATTACCTAGAAAAACAACATTTTGAAATAGAAATTGGTTAATATTAGCTTTTAGAGCTTTTTAAAACGCGAAAAAAGGTGCGCTGATGGGTTAAGTGCGGAAAAAAAGGTGCGCAAATGTCCGGGTGCGCAAAAAAAAGATCGCGCATTTGTCCCACCCCCGAAGAATCCACCTTTCCTCTCATAAATTTGTCCCACTCCTCATTTTTATTCAAATCACATAAAAATTAGTCTTTTCATTTCGTTTTTCAAAAAAGTTGAAAGTAATTTCGTTCTCTCCTTTTTTTTTTGCGAGTTTTTCTTTGTTTGTTCGTTGATTTTCTCTCAATCGAATTCGAAATTTGGAAGCCAAAGAGATTCCAATAATCCAATAAATTGCAATGAATTGCATCAGAAAGAAAAGGGATAATAAGTGGAATTTTTGGCAAATCTTCTTGTTTTATTGAATTTTTGAGACAATTGAGCGGATTTTCGAGAGGAGGGTGATCTTTGAGGGGTTTCTTTGCGGAAATTGTTGGCTTCAAAACTAAAAAAGTTTATATTTTTACTTATTCAAAAGGTTTTACATCTTTTTTTTTTGCTGAACTTCTTATTTTTACAAACATTTAAAGACTCATTATTATAAATCTATCAGTATTTTTTGTTTAAAAGGCCAATATTAAAATGAATCACAACTTTTTTCGGGAAATTCTCAAAAAGTGTAGTTTCATTTTGAGATTTGAACAAAAAAAAGGAAAAAAAGAAATGTTCAAAGATTAAATGAGCAAATTTCCTAATGAATTTAGAGCAAAAATTTGTGTTTATATATATGCTTTATTCAGTTGAATAGCGACAAAACAAAGATCACAATAATTACCCGGGACACCACTCAAAACTCACCCAAAAGATAAATAGATACCTGAAGAAAGAATCACAGAGCAGTCAAATCCATTACCGAAATTTGCGGCTTTAAATCTAGCCAAGGTGGGAATATCACGAACATGTGGGGGTAAAATCTTCCAGAATAACTCGATTAAAAAAGAAACTGTGGGGGCCTTTAGAGGAAACGGAAGGTTGGCGTATGAGAAAAGGCCTCCTTCTGGCCTCCAGAAGCCCCGTAGAGAGCCGAATTCAAAGAGACCAGAAAAAAGGGGATCGGGATGAATGTTTAAAAAGAAATGGGCAAAAAGAAACGATTGTTAGAGAAGATTTGAATTTCTCTCATTCATTTTTCGCATAAAATTTTGCCTTTTACCTAATGAACCACTCTAAAAGTTTATTAGAAATTTTTTTTTGTTTTTTTTTTCTTTTAATAATTTTGTTTTTATTTTAAAGGATTTCCTACAATTTTCACATCTTAAATCCATTTCAGAATTCCCGTTTCCCGATGTGATGCCTGATTTGCCGGCAGCGCTCTGTTTGGCACTGCTTCTCGTTGGATTATGCGGTCTTTTGATGAATATTCTCTTACTAATCATCATTCTTCGATCTCCACTTTTAAGCAGGTAAAAAGACTTTGAAACTTTCATAATTCTCATCCAGGAACCAAGATTTTTGAGTGCTAAAACAAATTGATGAAGCTTAAAGACACAGTCGAAAAGCTTTTTCTTAAAAATCTATAACTTTAAAGAATCAATATATCAATAATTTATTCATGTAAGCATAAAAAAGTAACAAAAAACATGTTTAATTGACAAAATGGCAAAAGAGTAAACGTATTGAACAAAAGAAAAGAAACAATTGTAGAGACTGACGAAGAAATCAATACTATTCAAATTCAATGACGATTTAGCAAAATTTCAATTCAAACTTGTTAAATAAATGAATGAATGAAGAAAATTGAATGAATGAATGAATAAATCTGAATTCAAGCACTATTTGCAAATCAATTTACATGATTTCCTAAGAAACAATAATGTTATAAGAGATGTTATAAGAGATGTTATAAAAGATGTTATAAGGGATGTTATAAGAGATGTTAGAAGAGATGTTAGAAGAGATGTTATAAGAGATGTTAGAAGAGATGTTAGAAGAGATGTTAGAAGAGATGTTAGAAGAGATGTTATAAGGGATGTTAGAAGAGATGTTAGAAGAGATGTTAGAAGAGATGTTAGAAGAGATGTTAGAAGAGATGTTATAAGAGATGTTATAAGAGATGTTATAAGGGATGTTATAAGAGATGTTATAAAAGATGTTATAAAAGATGTTAGAAGAGATGTTATAAGAGAACAATAATGTTATAAGAGATGAAATGCCGATGAATGGAAATAGGTGAAAATAAAATGAAATTTTCTCTAGCTTTATGCCATTTATGCAAAGAAATCGTGATTCTATCCTTAAAAATCTCAATGATTCAATGAATTGAATGAATTGAATGAATTGAATGATTACAGAAAGGGTCAACCCGTCTTCATTCACATTTTCTCAATGGTTTTGGGGAAAACCTTTCAACTATTGATTATCGTTTTCTACATTGCACCGTCGATCGCTTTTCAGGTGAAATTTTTAAAGCCACTGCTTCTCATTAGATTTTATTAATGATTACAATTTTATTTACCGTAATACCTGTAATAGTAGCGCGCGTACATTCGTCTAGTCGAACTGAACTCGTAATTTATAGTACAATCGCGTAGTCGCTAAAGTAAAGTAGTAAGCTAAAGTAATCATTTCTTGAACCCACCCAGATTTTTTTCTAAAATAAACTGTTAATACCAAAATATTCTTTGCTCAAGAGCTATCTTTTGAAATCTAAGCGCACATTTTACGTCAAAGCAGTGCGGAGAACCGAGTAATCACAAAATTAGTGAGTAAGACTACGCGATTGTACGCTACTATTACAGGTATTACGGTACTCTACTTACAATTGTATTAATGGTAAATAGAGCTTTCCTCTTCAAATACAGATTACGATCTTCTTTTACGATCGATTTTACGATCTTCGATCTTCTTTGATCTTCGATCTTCTTTTACGATTTCAAAGTGCATTAGAGAAAGACTTTAGTTTTAGCTATAAAACAACGACTATTCCACATAAAATTTTCAATATTTCTTTCAGCGTTTTCCTTTCCAAGAAACCGAGTACGGTGACGTGGTTCTTTCGATTGTTTCCTATGCATTTTATACTTTCTGGGTTCATTCATGTTGCTCAAATACAGTGCTCGCTTTTTCCAGGTTCGTTTCTAGATTGGGAAAATATTAAGTTAGCCCTTAAGTCTTGAGTCTTGTCACTCAATTCGTTCTTCCGTGTTGCCAGTGAGTCGATTTTACTAACATTTACTGAAGGGCAACTGGCTGAGGCACTTTTTTTTTTCTATTAGCGTTTATAAATGAAAAATTCATCAATTGATCTACAATTAGCTCCGTTAGAAAGGCCTATTATTTTTCTACAAAATAACGTTTAAATCTTATGAAAATGTTTTGTCTATGGTTTTTTATGGAGGCGCGAGGTAGGGTAGTCAAAAAAGGCGACAAGCTAAAGACGCAATTTAGGCGCTTTCGTCCACAGAAACTGTTGTTGTTGTCAATAGATAAAAGATAGAGCTCAAGAAGTTGTTGTTGTCGTCGCTGTCAATAGGTAAAAGATTTTCAGCTCAAAAAGTTCGGTATATAGCCGAATTTTCAGCATATTCTGTTCAGCCGACTTCTTTGTAGAGCTTTTTTTATCAAATTTTTTATCGAAAAACAAGATTTTGGACTAGGATTTGCTTTGAAATGAACCTAAATTGTTTCTAGCAAAAATGAATAATAAACATTCAGAGCTCTATTCAGAGCCAATTATAGATCAATTGGCTGAATTGGTTATTGGGTCCCAAGACTATAAACGCTAGTAGAAAAAAAAAGTGTCTAAAGACTTATGGGACAACCTAATAGATGACTTGACAAGTACCCAGAAATCTCTTCTCAAATTCAATTCTTTCAGATTCGTGATCATCATCTGTGCTGATTCTCCTTTGTCTTCCGTTTGTGCTTCGCGTCTCTCCGTTTTCTGCCAATCGGGCGCTATTTGGTGTTTCTCGGCGATTCTCTCGCTTGTCACTCAATTCGTTCTTCCCTGTTGCCAGTGAGTCGATTTCACTAAAAAAGGAAGGGCAACTGGCTGAGGCAAATGCTATGCGATCTATACCATTCGACGCAGAATTTGATGCTTAATGATTGATTTTCACGTTTCCAATTTCTTTTCAACTGCCAAAAAAAAGTTCTTTGGTGGGAAAGCAAAGGGGCAAGAGTTGTAAACAATTCAAAGCTAAGGATAGCTAAAGATCAATGAAGATTTAAAGGTTTAAGGGTGTTGCGACTTTTCTCAATGCTATTGTATTCTGAAGGCATTCACTAAGATTCACAAGGGAAGAGGAACTGGCTGAGCCGGCCAAATGCTATGCGATCTATACCATTCGACGCAGAATTTTATGCTGATTCCGAATATATATTCCGTTTTTGCTAAATGACAATCTGCCAGGAGTTAACGTCTAAAGTTTTGTTAGGACCCTGAAAATGTGGTCATTTGGGTCTTAGCGACCTTCTTGCGGACTCAGCTCCGTGCAGCTCGAGTGGTACAGCGTTCGTTTCCAGAGCGAGAGCCACAAGTTTGATCCCCCCCTGGTTTTTTCTTTCTTTTTTTTCAAGAAGTGCTGACTAATGTTTTTATAACTCCTGGCAGATTGTCATTTAGCAAAAACGGGATAGATATTCGGAATCAGCATAAAATTCTGCGTCGAATGGTATAGATTGCATAGCATTTGACCGGCTCAGCCAGTTGCTCTTCCTTTGTGAATCTTAGTGAATGCCTTCAGAATACAATAGCATTGAGCAAAGTCGCAACACCCTTAAACCTTTAAAACTTCATTGATCTTTAGCTATCCTTAGCTTTGAATTGTTTACAACTCTTGCATCTTTGCTTTCCCACCAAAGAACTTTTTTGGTTGGCAGTTGGAAAGAAATTGGAAACGTGAAAATCCGTGGGTACTTGATCAAAGCGCGCTTTTGGAGGAAATGTTCTCTGGAATCTCAAATAAACCACCCAAAAGTTTACCCCAAATTTCGATCTAAATAAAATCTAATCTAAATAAAATCTAAATAAAATCTAAATAAGATCTTTAAATAATCTTTGAGAAGCATGGGGAATCTTAAAAAGATTAAAGTCTAAAGTGAGAATTTGAAGAGAATATAGCTCAAAGTACTAAGGCTTTACGGCTTTAAGCGTTAAAGTAAAGTGTGTTTTTCAGTGTCAAAATTGATTACCTCCACTATGGGTACTCGTACGAGGTCTTCGACGGCGCTTTCAACTACTCGAAATATTATGTGAATCTGCCGGCAAACATCATCCACACCATCATTTTCTTCATGTTTTACGCAAGTGTAAGTGTTTGAGGGGAATTTTGTGAACGAATTTCTCGTATATCAGATTGTCGTTTTCCTCTGGAAACACCGAATTCCCGTCGGCTCGGCGTCACGACGCGAATCCGAGTTGGCTGTGCAATTTCTTTTCATCGCCGCCTTTTTCTCGTTAACATGGATCTCATTTAAGTAAGTTTTCGATGAAATTTATTTCAACATTTAATAGCGACCTTCTTGCGGACTCAGCTCCGTGCAGCTATGGCCGATTGGTACAGCGTTCGTTTCCAGAGCAAAAACAAATGGAATCTAAAAATTCATAGATCTCCCTGATTAAAAGCCATTGTTTTTTTTAAAGATTTAAAAGATAAAAGGCTTAACAGTTCTGAACACGAAATATGCCAATTTCTCCAAATTTTAACCACTTTTAGCCAACAAATATTTAAAGAAACGAAACTTTGAAGTATTATAGAACAAGTTCTATGACCTAAAAGCCTAAAGTACTTTTAGTATCTTGCCACAAACCTCATTGGGTTCTCTTCCCGCCACGGTGATGCTCGAGTGTGATTGTGCGGCGGCGGCGATGATCTATCTGACGATGAATAGAGATGTAAATATAAACAAATGGAACTAAAAAGTCACAGATCTCCTTGGCTAAAAGCCACTTTTTAAAAATATTGCCTTAAAAGGAACAGCTCTGAATACGAAATATGCGAATTTCTTCAAATTTTAACTAATTTTAACCTTTTAGCCTGTCTTACCAGTACTTTTAGCCTTGAAACAGTTTACTTTTAAAAGAAAAAAAAGCTTTAACCATTTCAGTAAGGCTGTAAAGAAACTTTTTTTCTATTTTTCTAGATTCGTCGCTACATTCGCGGCTCACAAGAGGGTTTAATGGGTTGCTCACAGCAAAGCGTTTCTGCCATGCGAAAGAGCACTTTGCAGAGCTCATATCGATATCGACCGGCGGCAAGATCGGCCGAACTTTGACTAATGTTCTCGTGAATTCAATCTCGTGTACATAAAGTCTTTGTATATAAATATTTTATCAAAATCCATTCATTAAAAGTCATCAAAAACTTGAAAAAGGTTGAGGAAAAGTATTCAACGATTACTAGTCAAAGGTTGAGTAATTAAACCAAAGTTCCTGGGCATATATTGAAAAATAAGTGCACCAGAAAGGATGGATTTTACAAAGTCCTTATAAAAATATTCTTAAACTTATAAAAGCTTGCTTTAATTTTTAAACTTTTGTTTTTTTTCTGAACAATAGAGAAACCCTACGAAATCGTCAATGTTCTTAGAAGCTGTTAAACCAGTTTAAACCAGTTTAAACCAGTCTTAGAAGCTGTTAAACCAGACCAACAACTCTGTTTATTTAGTTAACCTCATTTCTTTCATAACTCACGCTTTAATCTTTATTGAAAATAAGGGATTTTCTGAGAAAAGTGATAATGAACTTTCAAAGTTCTAGATTTCGTTCTAGAACTTTCAAAGTTCTAGATTTCCTTAGATTTTCTAGATTTAGATTAGATTTCAATGTTCTTAGAACCAGCTGAATTGAAAGATAAGTTCTACCAACAGCTCTGTTTATTTAGTTAACCTCATTTCTTTCATAACTCGAGCTTTAATCTTTATTGAAAATAAGGGATTTTCTGAGAAAAATGATAATGAACTTTCAAAGTTCTATTAGATTTCCTCCGATTTCTCTCAAACAAGATTCTTGGACATTTGATACGCGCCCCACCTCTTTTCCCATCAGCAATCTAACTTTAAAATCAAATATCTTGGTGTTGAGCTGTTGAATTTAAATATATTCTTAATATCATTAAATGCACCAAGCCTTTCTCTATCGATTTGTACAAAAACTATTGAAAATGAACAGCCGAACACCAAGAAATTTGAGCTCAAAGTTAGATTGCCAATGGCAAAGAGGGCGGGCATGTTAACTCCGCCCCTTTTTTGGTCCGTTTGCCATTGACAATCTAACTTTAAAATCAAATATCTTGGTGTTGAGCTGTTGAATTTAAATATATTCTTAATATCATTAAATGCACCAAGTCTTTCTCTATTGATTTGTACAAAAACTATTGAAATTGAAAAGCTCAAATTAGATTTCCTCCGATTTCTCTCAAATTCCCCTATCATCTTCAAAGAAAAAGGCTCAAGTTTTAAGGTTTTAAAAATTTCGAAATTTTCTAGAAAATACTACATTTTCTTTTTTCATATCTGAATATTTCAAATATTTTTGAATTCTCAACCTTTCATCGACAGCTTTTCACTGAAAATTCACAAGGGACCAAGGGACCAACGTTTCTCTGCAAAAACTCATTCATCTTTTTGTTTCTAAAAGAAAGAAGAAAGAATTGTGAAGTTTGAAAGTCACTTATTCTTATTGTTTATTGAAATGGAATAGGATTTTACAAAAATGTCAGTGCTGTCACAAATCGAATTGTACTCGAGTCTCTATGAGAAATATTATGTTTTCTATCCAGAGATGCGATCGAAAAGGCTATCAGGTATGTTTTGAATAAGAAAATTCAAAAAGTCTCTGGCTTGGCTTCTGGTTTAGCTTATAAAGCCTAGGTTGATGATTCCTAGGGGTTATAAGCTAAACCAGAAGCCAAACCAAGTTGATTATTTCAAGTAATCAATCAATACAATCAACTAAAAAGACTAAAATTTTGGAAATATGGATCAAATACTAGTGTTAGGATCAAATGCTAATGCTTCCTGTGCAAGAGATAACTCAAAAAACAATCGGGAGCTCTTTGAAAGGTTCGAAGTTTTCACTTCAACACCAAATCCCACATTTCTTTCTTCTTCGGGTCTCTGGAGAGGTCTCTGGAACCAGAGACCCGAAGAAGTTTGTCTCTGGAGTTCGCGGAGGACGAATTTGTGTGAATGAATGATGATCCCATTTCTTCTTTCTTTTGCTCGATTCAGATTCGCTTTGTTCTCTCGATACTAGTGGAATCCCGATGTTATTTTTTTCATAAATCACAAAATTTGATATTCAATTCCAGAGCATTTATTAGGTCGAGTACTATGTGTTGGTACTAGTACTATTTATTAGGTCAGCTAATTCACAAACAGATGAAAGCCATCTTGACCGCTTTAATGTTTTTTCTCATTTTATTTCAAACTAATTGCCCCACTTTAAACTTTAGATAATAGAGCACTTTATGCATAAAAATAGGAGTTGCAAAGTAAGAAGTGAAATGTTTTAAACCGATTCTCAGAGAAGACGACTATTGTTGATCAAGTCAGAGTCCCGGTACTCGGGTTGGTTAAAACTCTGGCCCGAATCTAAACTAGCCTGCTTTACCTTACTACTAGGTTTTTTTTTCTTTACCAATCAAGCTCTATTATTAGCTTGAATACTATGTGTTGATATGGTTGATGTTGATATTCCATTTGGTATCGTTGATGTTGATATTCTATTTTTCTCTGTAAAAACAATTAAAGAGCTAATTCCGTTACGGCTTTCATCAAATAATAGTTGTTCATTGTCTCATTTTACATCTTTTTGAACAAATTTAGACGCATTTTGAGAAATATTTAAGCAGAAATTCGTTAAATAATAAAAAAAAAAAATCAAAACCGCTTGACAAATTAAGCTAAAATTTTGATTATAATCGTAACTTTTTATTATATCTATCTTTTGTCCTATAACATCAAAATAGTTTCTGTGACGAAAAGTGCTCAAATTATATTAGTAGACCTTTTCTGCTTTTAAATCCCCTCATGCTCTCTGAAAAGCCAGAAAACAGAAGGATTTTCAAATGCGTTAAAAAGCTACTTTTAAAAGATTAATAGAGCTTTTAAATGGTGAAAAGTTTAAATGAATTGAAGCATTAGTTGTTTCTAAAAAGAGCAAGTCATATCAATTTTGGTGTCATCTTCTTGGCACTGAGTGTTTGCTAAAATAGGGGATTCTGAAAAGTTAAAGCATTAGACCAAATTTGCCTTAATCACAAATTTTCTCTATTTGAAGTACTTCATTTCAAGTTTTAAATGAGACCCATTGCCTATTCATTGACCCATTAAAAACTTGTCTAAAGGCTGGTCACTCAAAAAGTGACCAAGTCACTTCAGCTGAAGAAATCTCTTATTTTTTTAAACTGAAGTCCACTCTAATTTTTTTGTCAAAAACTTTTTGGAAATATAGTCAAGTTTATGAAAAAAATCTGGGAAGAATTCATGGCTTGGCTTTTAAGAAATCACCGTGCAAACTTTTTCCGAGAACTTTCTTTTCAACCTAATAGTTTCTGTGATTAAAAGTGCTCAAATTGTATCATTTTTGCTTTTGGAATCAAAAAATAACTTCTTGCTCTCTGAAAAATCAGAAAACGGAAGGATTTCCAAATGTGTTAAAAAGCTACTTTTAAAAGATTAATAGAGCTTTTAAATGGTGAAAACTATAAATGAATTGAAGCATTAGTTGTTTCTAAAAAGAGTAAACCATATCAACACATAGTATTCAACCTAATAACTGAACTGGCAAGCAAGAACTGGCAAGAGGCTGGCAAGCTTTTTAAAATTCCCCTTCTGCTTAAAGCTCATAAAAACACCGTTTCTGGCGCACTAGTTTTAATAACTTTTTCTCTAGTTTACCTCCAAAAAGCATTCATTTCTATAGAAAAACTTGATGGAGTAAATCCCTTCAAAATGGTCAAGTTGACATCTGAAATCCTCTCTTCAATCATTGTCTGAACTCCATACCTTTGAAAACTACGGTAAACTCACTTAATTAAACATACCAAACATTAAACATAAATCATTCATTTCTATAGAAAAACTTGATGGAGTAAATTGAAGCACTAGTTGTTTCTAAAAAGAGCAAATCATATCAACACATAGTATTCAACCTAATAATACGGCTTGATTGAACCCCGTTGAAGTATTTTTGGCACTTTCTTTTTATTGTAACCAATCATCCATTTGGTTAACTGTTTAAAGAGCACGATGCTCAATTCTAATTGTAAGATTTTCATCATTTAACAAACCATTAAAAAACCAAAAAGTATTCAACCTAATAACTGAACTGGCAAAGCAAAGAGGCTGACAACTTTTTAAAAATACACTTTATGCTTAAAGCTCATAAAAACACCGTTTCTGGCGCACTAGTTTTGATAAATTTTTCTCTACTTTACCTCCAAAAAGCATTCATTTCTATAGAAAGACTTGATGGAGTAAATCCCTTCAAAATGGTCAAGTTGACATCTGAAATCCTCTCTTCAATCATTGTCTGAACTCCATACGGACAAATTCTTCTCGTGAGTAAAAAGTGAAAAGGGGTTTAAATACCATAAACGTCTCAAGAAAAAAAGGCACCCTCATTTTTCAATTGCATTCATTCAACCATTTTCTTCCCCAACTCTTTTCTTTTCTTTATGGGGGTTTCCGGAGAAAAATTACCTGCTTTCAAAGAAATTTCTCAATGGAAAAGGGCTAAAACACGAGTATTTTAATGATCTACAATTTTTCTTTCTTACACTTCTTACTTTATTTGAACTTCTGCTTGTTTTTTAATAGAGAAATTTGTAGTAGGTGTTGATTCAAATTCATAATTCGATTTTTACTGAATACCAGAGATTTTGTAATAATTCGCTGTAAGCTATGATGTTGATTTTATAGTAATTTATACAAAAGAGGCTCGATTTTTCCGATAAAATCCATTTCTTGTACTTAAATTGAACTTACAATAAAGTATTTTGAAGCTGAAATTCTGCAATCACATTCATAATTGAATTTTTACTGAATACCAGAGATTTTGTAATAATCTAATTTTGTCATAAGACTTTCAAACAATTGAATATTCAAATTCGTTGGTTTATTCAAGTTTTATTCAAGTTTTATTCAAGTTTTATTCAAGTTCAATTCGCTGTATCGTATGATGTTGATTTTATAGTAATTGAAAGTTATAATTAGTGTGGCGAATAGCCACTAAAAGTTATCTAACTCTGACAGCCTAAAAATTGAAAAAGTATTAAGGAAATCGGTGCGAGTTTTGCGAATTGCAGAGTATTCAATATTTCTGGGGAATCAGTAGATTATTCGGTTTAGAGCTTATTTACAAATTTGCTAAAAAGGAAGCACACTTTTCAATAAGCTCAACGTAAACAACTTTAAGATAGTCTTCTTCAAAATTATTGCCTTTTATGCTGTTGTTTGCCTAGAAATGGTTGTGACACGGATTAATTGAGTTTTTTTTTCTTTTTGTAAAATCTCGTTGATCTTTTTTGAAAGAATTAAAACTGAAATGTGATTCTAACATTTTAAATATCCCGTCAAGACTTTTTTATGGTTTAAGAAGAGCAATTGGAGTTTGATTTGGTGAAATTTGGTGATCGAGTTCCGATGAATCGATTTTTAGAATATGTGTGGCGAATAGCCACTAAAAGTTATCTAACTCTGACAGCCTAAAAATTGAAAAAGTATTAAGGAAATCGGTGCGCCTTTATTCTATTTTGCGCCCCAAATCATTTATTGTTTTGTAGCTTGTTAGCTGAGTATTTTGTGTTAAAGCCTATATAAGGCAACTGTTGTTCATTTGTTTTTCGTTTTTTATCTTTCATTTTTTGCTTTTCTGCTTTCCTCTCGTTGTGTGAAAGTTGTGTCCTAATTAGGACGAAATTGTTTCTGTTTTTTTATCGTCGCTTTTAATTCAATTGTCGGTCTTGTGTGAAAATTGCTCAAGTGAGAGCCCAAAGATTCCGAGTCAGTCGGCTATTGAATAAAGTGTTTTTAGTTCAAGTGAGATCAGATATCTCGAAACAAGAAATAACGTGTGAAAAGTGAAGAGTACCAAGCACGCGAACAATATTTCTTTACAATTAGCTGTATTCTGAATCATTGATACTAATAGAAAAAGAGGAAATCAAAAAAAAAAAGAACAAAACAAAGAACTTTTTGACAAAAGAACCAGTTTGATAACTTTTTAGAACTCTTGAACTTGAATAAACCAACGAATTTGAATATTCAATTGTTTGAAAGTCTGTTGAAGACTTTCAGACTTGAAGTTGAATTGTTTGAAAGTCTTGAAGTGAAGAAGTGAAAAAGGGGAGATGAAGAAGAAGTCAAGCTTTTTTTTTCTTTCACTCTCATCCATCCATAACCATAACCATATTTGGGGAAAGGATGGCGGCAAAATTGGCGCCCTTGCTTTTTACCACTTCCTCTTTCCGTCAAAAAAGATTCTGGAGAACGTTTTATCATTTTTTTTATTTTTTATTTGCTGAATTTAGAACTATCTTTAAATTTTGAAAATCAATTTCTTTTCAAACTAACGTTTACCGTATTTCTTCGAATAGAAGACCGGGTAAAGAGTATGATCGCGTACTCCTGCGTAGCAGCCCTTTTTAAAATTTCTTTTCTGCATAAAAGCTTTCAATCAAGTGCTAAAGGGCTGGAAAATGACTCGAAAATCTGTTAGCTCATGTGGTATTTTTGAGTCATTTTCCAGCCCTATAGGACTTGATTGAAAGCTTTTATGCAGAAAAGAAATTTTAAAAAGGGCTGCTACGCAGGAGTACGCGATGATACTCTTTTTCGCGAAGTGCTATAGGGCAGGAGTACGCGATGATACTCTTGAGTCATTTTTCAGCCCTATAGCACTTCATTGAAAGCTTTTATGCAGAAAAGAAATTTTAAAAAGGGCTGCCACGCAGGAGTACGCGATCATACTCTTTACCCGGTCTTCTATTCGAAGAAATACGATATTTTCGATAACCTGTTGCCGATACAATCTGCGTTTTTTGAGCTCTCAAAAATTTGAAAACGCACGCTTTCCGGTGCAGTCCACTATACCTTCATCTTACTTTCTCATAGCTAGAAATGGCGAAAATCAAGTGCACTAGAAAGTGGATGTTTCTAGATTTCAGAAAGTACAAAGTACACCATCTCTCTAGCGTTTAACACCCTGGCTTTGAAAATTATATTTAACATAGGAAATGATGACCCCAATGGGTGGTGCTCTTGGCCGTCTGCCAACATTAGATGGATCTTATCTTTCCTTTGATTATCCACCATTTTCATCCCCATTTCTCACCCCCACAACCCCCATCAATCAATCCAACATTCTATAGTCGAAAACAAATAGGATCGTGGACGGGAATGATGTGAAGATCAATATTAAGTGTACCTAAATCTTGACTGATTTATCGATTATCGTATTTTCTCTAATAGTAGTGCACCCTGAGCGTCGTCTAAATTGCTCGAAACCTCGAGAACCGCTTATCAGAACCTATCGATGTGGGGTCGGAAAATGTAGCTGGCGATGAGATCTAGTGGGGGATTTGAGTGTTGAGCTTCTGGGAAAACTTGGAACCTGTAAAATAGACACCAACTCGGCTCGCCGGGGTGCACTACTAGTAGAGAAAATACGGTATATTTAACATTTACTTTTTTTTCGAATCTTTTTCCATGATCCTGATTTTTGATGATTCTTTCGATAATCCTTTCCCTTTTTGCAAATGGAAAGCTTTTTGCAGCTCTAATAAGGCCAAATTGACACCACCATCTCTTATTTCTTCTTGAATGAGAAAATTCTGAGAAAATCCTTTCCTAAAAATAAAATAACATATTCAAAACTATATAAACATCGTAAGATTTTGTTACTGAATCCATTTTATCAATAATTCTTGTCACTGGCTCATTTCTTGAATCCTAAAAATGGCTCAATCGAGGCGTTTCAGTTTACAATGTTACTTTAAAGGTATTAAAAAAGGGAAAGTTGTGCTCAAAATTTAATTTAAAACTTGTGCTAATTAAATTTCGATAATATTTTCTAGAGTTGGTCTCCTGGATGAGCAGTGATGACGACTCGCTGGATGTCGACATCACACTCTCACATTCAAGGTGAGAAGAGAAAATGGGAGTTGCCTTCCTATCAAATAATGTGGATCTTGGACGCCAAATCTTGGCTCTTCATAAAGCTAAGATTTCTAGCTTTATTTTGAATTTAAACATGATTAGATTTCAAAAAGAATAAGCCCAGGTTTTATCGACAATACTGGCTTGGTGATCTTTGGTTATCTGAATAAAAAAATCTAACGATCTTGGCTCTTCATGAAGCTAAGATTTCTAGCTTTATTTTGAAATGTACCTCAAAGAAATTGTACTTTTTTATAGCCAAATTTGATAAGGATTCTAATGAAACCAACAGTGAGTGGATTCGAGGTTTCTATCTCGAGATATAAGCCGTTAAAGTTGACCGGCGTCTGCAGACTGGCCGGTCAACTTTGACGCTCGTTTTCTCGGTGTTCTTGCAGGTGAATACACAAACAAAGCGTACTTTTCTGTAGCCAAATTTGATAAGGATTCTTTTAAAATCAACCATTAGTCGATACAATGCTTGTACGTGGAGATATAAAGCAAACGAGTCTCTATAGTATATCTTATTAGGAGTTATTTATAAAGCTGCTTTTCTCGATATTTTTACAAGTAAGTGCCTAATCTAATATTGATTATTATATAGTAAAATTTTATGAGAAATCGAATGAAACCAACCGCAAGTCGCTCAGACGTCTGTAGGTCGAGATCTAGAACTCCGGCCAAAATACACTATAGAGGCCTCTAATGAAAAAATGATTAGACTTCAGTATGCTAGTAGTTTAATTAATTAATGTTTAATTAATTTTTTTTTTACTTTAAACAGAAGTATAAAAAGGAATGAACAGATTTTCTGGACATTTTAATAGAAGTACTCCTCAGAAAACTTTCATTTCATCTTTCAAGGTTTGAAATCCAATTCTTGATTCATGTTTAAAAGGAAAACGCGAAATAAAAATGTGTATTTCATTTGTGGAAATACTTTGAAGTGAGGAGAAGGGAGCTGTTTGTAGACAAGTTGATTAGATTTGCTGAATGGAAAGGGCAAAGAAGAGAGGGGGAAAGGGCTGCAAACAGAGTTGGCTATCACTCTTTCAAGCCACATCGATATCCTTTAATCTTTTTATATTTTTCAAATCTATTATCATTCGTAAGCCTCTTATGCTTATTCTTCACCTAATCTAAGACTTTGAAATGTCGATTTCGAGCGACACACCCGTCTTTTGGGATGAGTTCTCCAGGTTTGACACTAACAAAATCCTATAGTCGACCCAATCTAGGACTACTGTAATGCCACAGTAAGCTTATACTTATTAAATATCCAACTTTTTATCTTTTTAGTTGAACCCTACTATCACTTACCCTTCCTCATCTGTCTGGGATTGATTGGCCCTGAAAAAAAGAATCAGATTAGTTCCCCAGGCACAAGGTTCATTCCATGGGTAGTGAATAGGGTTTTTAGATGAGCTCAAAAAGAAAAAGGAAGCTCAAAAAAAGGGAAAACTCAAAAAGAAACACACATAAAGGTTTCCAAGTTTCATCTGTTTCCGTATTTGAAATGTTTCTCGAACTGTGGAAAATCTTCCGAGATGGAGTCTTTTCGTTGTACAGGTTTTGAATTCGATTGAATGCCCTACCGTATTTAGTACTAAAAATCCTACTGACTCTAATAGTCTAGTCTGTCTGTCTGTCTGGCTGTCTATCTGTCTACCTGTCTGTCTGTCTGTCTACCTGTCTGTCTACCTGTCTACCTGTCTGTCTGTCTGTCACCGTTTTTCAATCTCGACCCAGCAACAGCTAGTAAGACTAATGGGTCTTTGATACTTACAAGGAAATGCCGAGCGTATGCTCAATGCTATATTCAATAGCATTGAAATGTAAAATTTTAGAAATAATTTGGGAATCAAATTATTTTTCTTTTAGTTTCATTCAAGTTCTATTAGATGAAAATGAGGTATCCCTGATCCCAAACCATCACATTCACTTCAGATCTTGTTCCTTGTTCCCTTCTTAGAGCTTAAATCCTCTTCAAGGCTTTGTCATAACCTTTTTTGCCATAACCTTTACACTTTATACCCTCAGTATCAAGTTCAATAAGGTTCAATAAGTTTTATCTCTTTAAAATTGCTAAAGCAAATTATCAGAAACAAATCTATTCTGGCCAATTTCTCGAATTTCCCCTTCTAGATCAGCTTCCTCAGCTCTTCCCCCATCCCCTCCACCCACTTCCCGTCCTGTCACGTGGTTAGGTCGACTCCAATCTAGGTAAATTTCTCATCAAATCATTTTTCAAATAAATTTTCTAGGCTACAAGAAAATCGGTAAGTCTTTTTTTCTCATTTTCTCGGGATTTCAGTAGATGTACGATATGCAAAATGTTATAGGAAAGTCTGGTATTTGAATTTGGCCTCTTGAAAGAGTGTTTTGTCAACTTTTGCAAAGTTATTTCAATACCAGATTTTCTTTACGGTTCACGGTTGTGCATGTCATGCGAAATGTCACTCTTTCCCCTTCACTTTTCAGATTGGCCTTTTGTGCCCTCTGTGTCTTCTTATTGGTCTTCGTCGTCACCGTTCTGGTGCTTCTCTCGTCGGCGCAACGAGCCGTTTCAGGGAATTGACAAACGACAAATGGTTGGTGATCATCAGTTGTTGCAGGCCTATTTTTTAGTCTAGTTTAAAGAGAGCCAAAGTTTAAAGATTTCTAGAAATTTTGTTAATAATAAGTCATCCAGAAGTTATTGGGTTGGTGAATTGAAAACTGCGGGACTTTGAACTAAAATTTATTCAACATAAAACCATGAATTCATTTCAAATAATTTTCATTATTATTGACGACTTCTGCCCATTTTACAGGCAATTTGCGGATTCCTCTTTCGTAATAGGATTTTGGTTTGTGTGTGAGATAAGTGTGAGACTCAAAAATCGAGGACTGGAGATGTCGTAGTTTGAGCATTTGAGCACTTTCTTCAAAAGAAACCCATTTTGGTGTCAATAGAAAAGTTGTAGAGAATCAAAAATGAGGCTTATAGCCAAATTTCCAAAAAGATACACTTAGTAGTTTCGCCTAAAATGCAAGTTTTGTGAAAATTCGTAAATTTCGCATTTCTTGAAAACCAGTTTTTGAATCGTTCTGAAAATTTGGATATAAGCTTGATTTTTGATTCTCTACAACTTTTCCATTGACACCAAAATGGGTTTCTTTTGAAAAAAGTTCTCAAACTGTCACATACGACAATAGCCCGCAGTTTTCAATTCACCAACCCAATAATTGATATTAGCCTTGATTTGAGAACAAATCAATGTCCAATTTGAGGGTTCGGAGCCGCCAGTTTAGTTTTAGTTAAAGTTACGCTTTCTAAAGAGCTCAATGTAGCATTGTTGAACATAAAAGGGATATTTATATTCAATAAAAGGCACCTGACATTGTCATTGATCACTTTCCAGTCATTGATCGCTTTCCAGACTTCGAGCAAGCTCAACTTTTAAGTTTACAGTTTATTTACAAAGTTGACAATGACATTTCTCTAAAAGGGATATTTGTGTTCAACAAAAGGTACCTGACAGACGTGGATAGGTCTGGATAAACTGGACGTGGATAGGTCTGGACTCTGGACAATTTTAGCTTAAAGTTACTTTTGTTTTAAAGCTCAGAAATCAGATTTAAAAATGACATAAATGACTTTGAGTTGGGTTTGAGAAGTTTTCGAGATCAGTAAGCTTTGAAGCTTTAAAGGTTTTGCAACTTCAAGGGGAAAGCTTTTCAAGCGATTCATAAGAAAAGAAAAGAAAAGAAAAGTTAATGAATTTATCTTTAATTAATGTCAACTTTAATCACCAGGTTAATCGAGATTATTCAGTCAACTCTTCACTACAAAAAAAAACGCCAAAGAATGAAGCTGGTCTCTGAATGTGCCTCTCGACTTAATTAAGTATTTTTTTTTTAATTTCTATGCTTTATACTTTAACTTTTTTTGAGATAAAGATATAGTTTAAATAATTTTTATTTAAATTGTTAAATCAATTTGATTTAACAATTATTTTTCAACAGAGAATTCTTTATAAAATAGAAAGAAGAAAGTAAAGAAAAAAAAGAAAAAAATAAATCTAGTACCGTATCGAGTACACGTATTTCATGAGAACAAATCGAAAATAACAGAAAATTCACAAATCACAACGACACCAGGGTTTACTGTAATAAATAAAGCATTGGATAGAAATCACAGACAAATTTTGCTGGGAAGACCCGGAGAGGGGAGTGATCCAGGAAATGGGGAATAAAATCGGAAATAGGAAACTACCGCAATCTAGGTATCAAATAGAGGCCAAGTGTATCAAATAGAGGCCAAGTGTATCAAATAGAGGCCTAGTGTATCAAATAGAGGCCAAGTGTATCAAATAGAGGCGTAGTGTATCAAATAGAGGCCTAGTCTATCAAATCAAATAAAGGCCAGCAATATCGCAATAAATTTCAGCAATTGGATTAGATTCTAGTAACAAACGCCAGATTCATTTTAAATACAAATTTTCTGTTCGTATTCTTGGTGACAAGATGAGGGAATTTTTTTGGATTTTTCCTTGGGCTCCGAGCCAATGAGATCTGAGAATTTGTGAGTAGAGAAGAGGAAATTCGTGTCCTTGTATCCGGTGCCAAATCAGGCTGAGATAAGTTGAACAAGCTTCTGAAAATGAAAAGAATTAATAAAGGGTATTGATTTCATTTCAAAGTTAGCAAATAGATCAATCATTGGGTTTTTTTTCTATCTGCTCGATCGCTATTCGGTGGAACGAAAACGTTCAGGTGATTGAGATCGATTTTGGTATTGATTTTTAGAAATCTTTAACTTTTACAGGCTTTAATTTTGAAGTTTTGAAGTTTTTTTTCAACTTTTTCTAAAGTTAAGAGATTCCTAGCGCCTATGAAAGGTCGTTTTATAAAACTTTCTTTAATCTTTCCCTATCCAACTTCAACAAACAACAAACCTTAGCATATGCAACAAATTGAGATCCAGGTTGATCGGGTTGTTGCTCGTCAGGCAATGTACCAATCTTATATTTATCAGCAAGCATCCTCGCTTGCATCGAGTGACCACAATCCTCAAAAACTTGAGTGGCATCGGAACCGGCCTGGAATTGAATGGATAAGTTTTAAAATCCTTTAAAAATTATACAAAATCTCAATTGGGCTTTTTTTAGACTCTTCAAAATCTGATTTTAAACTCACATATTCTAGCAAAAGCTCCATACTGCCGGGGTGTTTCTCGAGAAACTCAGTGACATCAAGCACATCATTGTGCAGAACAATCCAGCAACTCGCGTAGTCACAGTGTTCAGCCACCTCTTCGCGGCTGATCCTTCTTTGTGTGATTTTTGCCATGATACTTCGCTGCCGTTGAAACGGGAAGCGAATTTGAAAGCGTTGAATGTAAGAGAAGTAGAAATCAGAGAGTACAGTAAGCCGTCACTTTTTGATCGACTCAGCAAGAAGACATCTGAAAATTTACTGGATTAAGATCTGATTTGAAAGAGTATTTAAATGATACAAGGAATTGAATAGAAAAAGTAAGAGACAAAGTAAGAGAAAGAGAAAGTGCAATTGTTAAACGAGCTCGTGACATGAAATTTGAAGTTCAAAAGGGTTGGCTCTAGAAACGTGTCTGGGTTAAGGGTTTAATTTTGCCTAAACAGCAATAGAATTTATGTACTAGAATAGGATTATGTCTTGTACTATAAGTGTAAGATTTTGATTCCTAAGATCTATAGAATCTATAGGATCTGTAGGATTTTATGATTTAAAAGAAGAGCCAAGAGGGAAAAAGATCTTGGGAATACCCCTCAAAAATCACTAGACAAATGACCCGCGATTTTTCAATGGCTGTGCAATGTCGGGGGGAATGGACGGGCTTTTCTCCTCCGCCAAATTCCTTTATATACAGTATCTGAGAGAGATTGGAGAGAGCAAAAGAAGGAAATTGCGAAAATAACGTGTCGAGGCAAGATGGAGCAGTGATAGAAATCAGCATTGTACGCAACGTGCACCATGGAGTTTCCGGCATAATTTCTCTTTTCGATTGAGTACCCTAGGGGTATGTCTGGATACGATCAAGTGAATAGATAAGCCTATGATCTGCAATTATAATCGATTATATCTCGGGATTCACATGGGGGAAAACCCTGAATTCCTTTAAGAACACGTGGAGCACGTGGAGGGTAAAAGAAGGAAAAAGAAGGTAAAAGAAAAGAAAGAGATTTTTGTCTTCACAATAGAGAAAAGGATGATTGATTGGTGTGATTGAGGTGAATGAATGAAGAAGAAAATGAACTGAATGATAGAAAAGACTTTGCGGAGGGGGAAACCCCGGTTATGATAAACAAAGCGGGGTATTGATTCGAGTGATTTGTGTGGGATGAACCAGAAAGTTCCGCATTTCATTATCGATGTTTGTTTACAAGAGATCTTGTTGATCCAGATTTTGAAATGGATCCCTTTGAGAGTAGACCTTTAAAAGCTAATTCTATGGTAGAAAAGCACGATTCTAAAATGATTCAAATTACGTTTAGATTACGGAGTGCCTTACTCCGCTTTACCAATGAGCTAGAACGACATGTATCCAATTGCCGCCACGGTATGGCTTTATGCCTTATGCCTAAAGCCGTCAGAGTATGCCTAAAGCCATACTCTGACGACAATTGGCTACGTGTCGGTCTAGCTCATTGGTAAAGCGTTCGCTTGATAAGCGAATGCTCTACCGATGATGACCATCCTTGTATTCTTAGCCTCAACTTATAAAAAGATTCCAACTACGATAGTTCTTCCATTTTCAACTACGATAGTTCTTTCACAACACCACTTGAAATTTAAGATATTTGACGTAAAACTGATCTAGAACTTGGTAATTTTAGGATAAGCTAGCTTAGTTTATAAGTACCGCAACAGGCAATTAGTACCCTAAAATGCAAACGATTAAAGGCTACATTTTAAGTTACCAGCTGTGCTTAGAAACAATCGATAAGAGCGCCACTCCTCCTGGGAGCCGGTAGTTCGTTAGCAAAGATTGAGAAGCAAATCGTTTCATTTTCCCATTAGACATCTACTTATTGTTAGCCTTAATACACTTAATGACACATAAATTTGGCTGACATTTATTAGAGATCGCTTGGGTATTACAAAATACCCAAGAGATCTCTAATCTAGCGACTTTGTGAAAGAGTTGAGCGCTTTCTGTGCACACGAGTACACAGTACACAAGTACACAAGTACACTTCAACTATCCCCTCACTCATGATCAAATTTGCCTATTAATATCAAAGAAAAACACTTGCCGCAAAATTGGCATATCAGCAAATAAAGGAGTTGTTGTTGATTGTCATATGATACAAATTTGGAGAGGAAGAGAGAGAGCTGCACCTTGACCGGCTCAGGAGGAGAAAATTTATTGTGAAATCTTTGTCTTTGTTAAGTGTGAATATATTTTTAGAGATTTTTTTCTGGAATTTTCTTTGAAGGGGATTTGAATTGAATTCTAAAAGAAGATTAGACTTTGGACGAGTGTTTATTGAAATGAAATGGATAGACTTTGAGACTCTATTGATGGATTGAAACCTTAAAGATTAGTATACTGTAAAGCATTTACGACTGTAAGACAAAGGTAAAAGAGATTCAGTTTCTGTGACTTCAAATAGGCATCTTGAATATCTTGAAGGTGAATAGCTTGAAGGTGAATAGCTGGAAGGTGAATATCTTGAAGGTGAATATCTTGAAGATTCTCCTTAGCTACAGTATACCAGATTGAAAAGCAGACATTCAGCCGACTAAGTGGAATATCGTTCAAGAGTTGTGCAATTACCACAGCTACTGATGGCTCTAAAGATGGTATCATTGATTGCTTCAAAAAAGAAGGACCGATTCCTGAAGGCGCAACACTTCTCGCCAATGCTCGTCTCGAACAATCAATCAACGGAGTAAAAGATCAACTCAAAATATTGAACTGGCGATTTTTGATGAGGAAGTCTAAGGAAATCGTCTTAAAATTGTCTTCAAATCGTTTATCAAGATGTTCGATGGGTTTTTGAATGAAAAGCAATCTCTATTTTAGCAAAATGGTTAACCTTTTTTAGTGTACAGAGTTCAAATTAATCGATTTGTACATTCAAATTGTTTACCGATGCATTTAGTAATAAAATTGTGCTATTTTAGGTCATGCATCTTTGTTTTAACATTTAAAATCAACGAAAATAGATTAGGCATCTGGAGTGGAATATCTTTAAAGATATTCAGCCAAACCCTGGCACTCTTGTTAGCCAAAAAGCTGTCTTTAAACTCTAGCTTTTCAATGAAATTCAATTGATTTTTGTTTGTTTTCTTTTCTTTTTTCCTTAATCATTTCATCAAATGTTGATAGTTAAAAGATGAAATTTAAAAAAGAATTGAAAACAAAATCGGAGAATCTTTTGTGCTTGACAAGAGGCTGCGTCACAAAGCTCTCATTGCAACGATTTGCCGAATTTTCCCGAAAATCGAATGTGCAATCGATTGAAGACGAAAATTTCCGATTCGCTGATGGATTTGATTGGATTCTTTGTTAAGTTTTTTTTTGAAAGTTCTTTGTCAAAATTCATTGTCATTGTCATTGATCGCTTTCCAGAAATGAGCAAGCTCAACTTTCAAGTTTACAGTTTATTTACAAAGTTTCTCTTTGACAATGACATTTGATTCTTTCAAAAATGTAAGTTAAGTTAAAGTTACGCTTTCTAAAGAGCTCAATGTAGCATTGTTGAACATAAAAGGGATATTTATATTCAATAAAAGGCACCTGACATTGTCATTGATCACTTTCCAGTCATTGATCGCTTTGCAGACTTCGAGCAAGCACAACTTTTAAGTTTACAGTTTATTTACAAAGTTGACAATGACATTTCTCTAAAAGGGATATTTGTGTTCAATAAAAGGTACCTGACAGACGTGGATAGGTCTGGATAAACTCTAAACTTTCAATCTTTGCCTTAAGGAAACTTTAGAAACTTTAGAAACCTTAGAAACTTTAGAAATTTCATGAAATTGGGTAATAGGGATAATAGGGGTAACGGCCGCAGTGCCATAAAAATTGTGTATTTAGACCGTTATGTCTTATTATGTATCCTTTGTTTGTATCACATTATTGGCTTTCAATAAATGTATTTTTTTTTTTAAATTCTTCAGAGAGCTTGGAAAGCTTTTAGATTTTTCAGAGATCAAAAAGGACTTTGTAAATAAAATTTTGCAACTTTCACATTCCCATATTGTTGCTAAAAATTCACCGGAAAGAACTGATCGGTCTAGACACTTCCTGAATCCCCAAAAATTTCTCCTAATCTTTGAAAAAAAGAAAAAAAAGCGTTCATTGCTTTGGTGCATTCGTTTCAGGTTCAACACACGGAAATCTCTAAGATTTTTTTTCATTAAAAAGAGAAAAAATGAGAGCGAAATCATCGTTGCAATCTCTCAAAAAATGTTTCGCAAAAAAAAAAAACGAAAAATCTTTCTAACTTTTTCTATATTTTCGTTGTTAATTCACGTGTATTTGGCGGGTGATTGCCAAAAAAGATTCCGTTATTTTTTGGAGGATTTCGATGAAATTCGCAAATGATACTTAGGATTTTTGCCAGTCGATCGTAAATTTTCCAAAAAAAAGTGGGAAGCTTTTCGAAAGATCGAACCTTCCAAAGGTCATTGAGAAGAGAGTTTTTTTTTTGCGGGGAAATTGATGAGTTTATTGGGCGAGGAAATGTCGGTACTTTCGAGATGGTTCCGGATTCGTTGAGTTGACCAATTTTTTTTATTCAAAAGTGTTAAGAAGTAGTCATGTTTTAAAGCAATAAAGTTCTTTGTGTCGAAAGAAGTTTATTGTAGAATGCTGACTTCAATTCCGTAGTGCATTAGTATTTCATTCTCGCCAAAGCTGAAGCTAAAGCTGAAGCCAAAGCTGAATCCAAAGCTGAATCCAAAGCTGAAGCCAAAGCTGAATCCAAAGCTGAATCCAAAGCTGAATCCAAAGCTGAATCCAAAGCTGAAGCTAAAGCTGAAGCCAAAGCTGAAGCCAAAACTGAAGCCAAAGCTGAAGCCAAAACTGAAGCCAAAGCTGAAGCCAAAGCTGAAGCCAAAGCTGAAGCCAAAGCTGAAGCCAAAGCTGAAGCCAAAGCTGAAGCCAAAGCTGAAGCCAAAGCTGAAGCCAAAACCGAAGCCAAAGCTGAATCCAAAGCTGAAGCTAAAGCTGAATCCAAAGCTGAAGCCAAAGCTGAATCCAAAGCCAAATCTAATGTGCTTATTTTTGGTTTCTTCATCAATTCGAGAAACTCAAGAAAAATAACAAATTTTAGCATATAATGTGCTCATACTTT